GATGTTTCCATATCATCAAGATTTGTTCCATGAGTTGTTTCCAATTGTTGTTCCTGGAAAGCAATCTCTTACATTGAACTAAAATAACATGTAATCTTACCATTAAACTGAAGAGAATTGACCGAAATGCATGTTCAACCGCTGTGCGAGATTCCGATGAATTATTCCTATGTAAAAAGGATATAGTTAAAAGTGTTCCATAAGAGAAATAAAATATTTGTAGTTTTGACATTAGAGTGAAATCTCGAAAGATGCGTATGAGCGTGCGGATAAGAGTACCACAGGTAAGGGTGATGTTGGATAGGTTCAGTGGCGGATTTAGGGGTGAACGGTCGCCCCCTCGCTCAGAATTTGTTTTTGATTTCTTACAGCAAAAATGAACGAAAAATAGGTTCACACTACTTCGATTGGACTCAAAAATAGTTTTTAACCGAAATCGCCCCCCCCCCCGTTCCAAAACTCTAGATCCGCCACTGGATAGGTTCGCTTCGGTTCCAAACGCCGTGCGCATCTTTCGTATACTCATTAAAATAAGCAGTTTTTATTGATCGATTAAACTTCCTGTAATGGGAAAAATCTATATGTATGCCTGATTCCAATAGGATCTAGCAGTAATCATCATTCTTAAATCACTTACTTGTTAATAACATCTCGAATTCTTTGTGTATTCCATTGAGATTTCTTTAAATCATCCTAAATTCAATTGAAAAGATTAATTTTATATATTTTCCTAAATTCTCTTACTTCAACATTTTGTCTAATAAATTCAAATGTGGATGAATTTTTGTCAATCATCTGAAAAGAAAACGAAAATCATAAATGATTAAATATTTATATATATATTTGTCTTTAATTTTTACATAAAATAATCAAGAAAATGTAATGATTTAAAAAAAAAACAAAAAAAAACGTACACACACACAAATTGACTATAATCATTCGGAATAAAAGAAAAAATTTCGTTACTCAGGTAGGAATTTGTTTATGTGTCAGTAAAACAAAAAATGCGTATTTTCTTTCTCTATCTGACACATATAAATAAAAAGATATTGCGTCGTTTATTAAAGGTAAAAATCACTGTATTAATAAATACTGTCCACGGAAAAGAATTGGAAATAATAAATGGAATGAATGCATGGGAAATAAAAGATGTGACTGACAAATAAATGTGTAATATTGCTATTTAAGGAAGCTTTTGATTTCTTCCATTAAATTCGATAGAAAATGTGTTTCACTTGATTTTCCATCAATTGAAATGCCATTTTGAGAATTCTTCAAAATAAAAAACATTATTAGAATAAAAAAAAGAAGTATGACATACAGATGATTTAAATAGAAGAGCAACTGGATGTCCAAGAATACTTTCTGAATATAAAGATGCAGCGGAATTAATTTGATCAACAACTAAAAATAAGATTTAGTTTTGTTTGTTTTTAACTTAATTAACAAACCTGTTAATCGATATGATTGACAAATTGTTTTAATTATTGATGAAAAATCTTGACTAGATGATGGAATACTAATATGTGATTGACTTGTTAATGTACCTGAACCCATTAAATCAGCAAATGCATCACTTAAAAATCAAAAAAATGAATATTTTATATCGAATAAAACTAATTTTATCTTACGAATTAAGAGTTTTTTTTCTTAAAAATTGTGAACAAGGTAGATCAAGTTTAAATTCGATTGTTTCTGTTTGATTTTCATTCGATGGTTTCTTTAAAAAAAATATTTTTAAAAAACATTTTTTTGTGTCGTATTAACTTACATGTATTGAATATGTTAATGTTGTTTTTAATTTTTGTGGAAATGATATAGCCGTAATAGCAAAATAAATATGTATATAATTTTGTGAATGTGGAAATAGACTTATAGATGGAAATGATATTTCATTTTTACTTGTTGTATTAAGTAATTTTGAACTCATACTATCAATAACATTAATACCAATATGATCAATTATTGAAGATGTACAATTTTTTAATAAAAATGTAACATCTAATTGAGCAGTAGATGATGATGGAATGATGGAAGATTCCTAAAATATAAACAAATTTTATTTGAAATATGGATTCTATGGACTTTTGACAATATACATGAGGGTGTGGGTGGAGAAGGATGGGTTTCTACTTACAATTACTAAATTATCAGATTGTGCTGCTAATTTATAAACATTTTGTTCATTGTATTGTTCATTTGATGAATTTCCTGACATGATATCATCGCTCATTATGTCCAATAGAAGTGGTGCTGAAGTTTTATTATCAGTTGTTGCTGATTTTTTTTCTTTGGTCTTCTTTTTCTTAGGTTTTTCTTCAGTCGGTACAACCGGAGAAGCAGTAGTAGTAGGTGCCGGTGGTGGTGGTGGTGGAGCTGGAGATGCAACACGTTTGTCTTCAATATCGGCAGGTGATGATAATTCTTTATAATCACTACGTTCTCGTTTATGTTTAACTTTCAATGACGATGATGACGGTTTTTCTTCTTTTCCAACTGTTTTCTTTTTCTTTTTCGGTTTTTCAGTTGTTGTAGGCAATTTTTCCACTGGTTCTGGTTTTTGAACTATTGGAGGTGGAACTATTTGTACAGGTTTTTCATCGAAATTAATATTCTTCAATGCTTGATGTGGATCATATTTCTTATTTTTTCCACTAGGTTCATCATTCTCATTATCTTCATTTCCACTTTCTGTTACACCTTCAGGTAATTCTCCACCACGTGTTACTTTAATGATTGGATATAAATCTTCATCGACTTCATCAACTGTTGTAGAATCGGATTTTTTCGTTGATTTCTTTCCTTTTTTCGATGATCCATTATCTGTTTTAGATTTCTTCTTTAAACGTCGATTTTCTTCGTCAATTTTCGATTGACGATATAATTGATCCGAAAGTGATAGTTGTAAATTTGCGGGAAATGCTCCTGTCGATGTTTTTGTTTGAGACTGATCATTAGTATTTGAACTAATTGGTGATGCATCGGTCTAAATATTCAAATAAATATTAATAAGAATGAAAACCTAATTAAAAAAACTTTTTGTATTAATTTTGTTTGTGTTGAGCCTTTCAGATAATATGGATTTACTTTTTCGCTTTGTTTTCTTGTTTCTCTTTGTTTTTCTATTTCTTCCGTTGATGGTTCAGCATAAGTTTTCGATTGAGTATAACCGGATCCATCTCCTGGATAAGAACTAAGATTACTACTATGGTAATAATCTTCTTTATTATCATTATTTGAAAATAAATTTTGAGTCGTATTTTTATTTTCATAATATTGATTTGTTGGAACAGATTCATCTTCACTTTCCGAAGGTGGATCATTAATCCATGCATCCAAATCCAATCCATTTGGTACAACAACCTTTCGTTGAGCTTTGCCAGCAACAGGATTAAGAATACCATCGAAAAGAACGTTTAATTCATTAAAATTAAATTCCGATTTTTCAATTAGTTTTAATACTACTTTAAGTATATTTAAAATTACACTAGCCTAAAATATATCAATGATTTTATTTAATAACAATAAAAAAATCACATACTCGTTCTTGTGCTTCGACATCATCACTTGATAGAAATAATGACATTTTATCAATTGACATTGAAATAAGATTTTTTGCGATTCTGTCATTATTATCCGATGTTGTTATTATGTATGTTATAATTTTAAGAATATTTTGATAATAAACAGATTGAATATGACCAGGAAATAATGTTATTTTTGTATTAAGCATTGATTCAAGAGTTTTTTGTGGATCTTTTAAATTTCTAAAGATATAAATAGTTTAATGTGGTTTTATTCGTTTTATTATACGACGAACTTACGAAGTAAATTCACCACAGATCCATGCAGCTGCATATAATACTTCAGCAACACTTGATGAATTTGAACCAAGAAGAAAAACATGAGAATTCTCAAGAAGAACAGCCTAATATAATTAAATTCATTTTTTTCTTATAAAAAATTTAAACAGAAAAAAAAGAATTTTACCATTTGATTACAAGCAAATTCTCGAATCGATTCAACACGAACAGCAACATCAAGTAATTGTAATGAAATAAGACTACCATGTTTTGTACCTTCAAGACGAGTTAATTCAACCAAAATACTTATATACCTATATTATGGAACATATATAAAATGAGAAATAGATATAATTATAAAATTTACCATTCAAAATTTGCTATATGTGTATAATCACTTTGACTACAGACTTCAATTATTTTTGATAATAATTCATCTCGATAATGTGATCCTTCAGCTTTATGCATATGAACCATTAATTTACGTATAATATCCATTAGAGTTTTTTTTGATACCTAAATAAATATAATATTTTCTTTTCTTTCTATATAAAATATGTATATCTTACCATTCCAGATAATAGATCAAGTGCACGTAAACGTATTGATTCATCTTTATCATCAAGACATTGCATAATTAAATCATTATGTGCTTGAACACTTTTTGGATGTGTTTGTAAAATTTTTGACATAGCAAGTAAACCAAGATATTTTACTAAATAAAAATATTTGATGTATAAATTTCATTGAAATTGAATTCTTACAATTCTGATCAGAATCTTCAATAAGTATACGAAGTTTTTGTACACATAATTGTATAGATGCATTATGATTTGGTAAACCAGATGAAATTGATACAAGAACTTTGAAAGAAAAACGTAGAATATTCAAAAAATGAACTTATATTTTCTTTACCAGCAAGAATAGTATTGATACATTCATAAAGTAATGACATTGCAGATGTACTATGAATTAAATTTGTTAATGGTTCAATTAATTTTTTACCTAATCTTGGTTCTAAAGGTGTCAACGCACCGAACTAAAATTTCAGGAAAAAAATTTAATTCCAATAAGAAAAAAAGAATATTTTAGTTTTTACTAGTTTAATAATTTTAATTAAAACCCAATTATTTGTTGATGTTGTCATAAGACGAAAAAATATGGGTGCTAATGCAAGATAATTTTTTGGATTACGTCTTGCTAATTCGCAAATAACATTCACAGCTGCTGCTTGTACACCTAAGAGAGAAAAAGAACTCATTGAGATTAAATATAATTTAATTATTAAATTAAATAAACAAACCTGGATCAGGATCTTCAAGTTTTTCTTTTAAACGTGGAAATGCTGGTTTAAGTGCATCAGGATTATTTAAAAAGACTTTATATAAAAGTAGAACTGCTCGTTTACGAACATATGCTTTTCCTGATGTCATCTAGATTAAATTAAATTACAATTAAAAAGATTCATAAATATTTTCTTACAAGACGCATTATATCATTTGCTAAATCTCTTGCAAGATCACCATTAATAAAACATGAAAGTCCACTCATTGCAAGTCCAACTTCATACATTGATGCACTATTTAAATCCTAGAATACGTATACATTTTTTAATATGAAAAACAAATTAATTATATTTATATTTTTACTTTTCGAATCATATTTGTTGTTAACATTAATACATCAGTTCCTTCATGGAAACATTGCGAAGCAGCCAAATAACCGATTCTCTAAAAAAAAATGACAAGTTATTGTCTTTCTTTTGTTAAATCCATTTCCGTTTCCGCAATAAAAACAAAATCAATACATACTTTAAATGTAAACTTGTTTGAACTCATCACTTCAATAATATTAAATGCACTCCATGATATATCATAACCAAGCATTTGAAGCTAAAATAATAATTATAAAAAGATTTATTATTATTTTATATTTAGAAACTATACATATGTTAATTTGTTGACCGCATTTGCTTTAACTGCCATATTTTCTTGTTTAAGTTCTTGTTTTATTTCATCGATAGCTTCGTTAATATATTTTGACTAAAAAATTCATATAAATTTCTTTAATAAAAAAGTAAATAGAAATCTTACTTCGTCATCTTTATGATTTCGAATACCTCGAACAAGATCATGTAAACTTTTATCAAACATTTGTCCGAAACTATCTTTTGCTTTTTTGACTACTTGATCCATTGTTGTCGACATGATGCTTACATAAAACAAATGAAAAAGAAAAAAATTTTTTTCTCCAAACACATCATCAGCCATTTATCTTTATCATCATCCTTTCTTATTTTTCTATGATAGATGTCACATGATTTCATCTTTTCGCTTTTTATTTTTTTATAAATGAACGTCTCTCATTCCATAGTTTAGTGTTTTTTTTTCTAATAAATCTATTTGTAACGAATAAAAAAAATCACAACGGCTACGAATCTTGATCTATTTCCATCAGATGTGGTTTCTAAAACCATACATGATAATATTCATCTACGAAAAACATCTTATGATTTGGATAAAATTAAAAAATTACTAAATAAACAATCAACAAAATTATTTGTCTCTTTTTTGGGAATATTTATCTCATATCTTATATTTGGTATTGTTCAAGAATCAATGTAAAATAATTTATTTCAATAAAAAAATAATTAATCAATTTAATTTTTTTAGAGTAAAAGGAAAATATGGAAAAAATGATAGATTTACATTTATTTTATCGTTAGTTTTTTTTTCTATGTAGTTTCAATGCCCTTGTATCAAAAATTAGTAAATAATTCTTTTCTGTTGTTTTTTTGAATAATTCTTTTTTATTATTTTTATAGTTTTAATTATTCGAAAAACTCATCGCGATGCAACACCATCGAAGATGTATGCATTTTCATCATTTACATATTTATTCGCAATGCTTTCAAGTAATTATGCTTTAGAATTTGTTAGTTATCCAATGCAGGTAAACTTTTCTTGAATATATTTTATATATAATATTCTAAATTCTTATTTAAGGTTTTAGGAAAATCAGCAAAACCGGTTCCAGTTATGCTTTTGGGTGTTTTAATAGCAAGAAAACGATATCCACTGAAGAAATATCTTTATGTTTTATTGATTGTTTTCGGTATGAAAAATAAATTAATATAGATTGATTTGTTTATTAAAGAAAATTTTAGGAGTGGTTTTATTTATGTATAAAGAACCAAAACAGACAACGAAAGCAACTGAAGATGGTGAAATATATGGTATTGGAGAATTTCTTTTGGTACGTTATTAATGAGAAATTGACATGTTTTAAGAACGTTAGTATATATTATCTGATAATGAGTTATGTAGATAAAATAAACATTCTTCTATTATTTACACATATCAATAAATAAATAATGTAAGAAAAAATCGATCGGTTTTATAATTACGTCGTTTACTAAACGTAGAGGTCTGCAGAGTACAAATTTGTCTTAATTAGTCATATGATCTACTCTATAATTATAATAATTTATTTCATATGAAGAGTATATTTTATCAATAAGAACTTGTACGACAGAAGTAAACGTTAAAAACAAGATCAATATTATTGATACTAGAAAAATTTCTAGATGATTCGATCTAATTCAAAAACTCTTCATATATGTTTTGCGATTTTCAATTTCTATCTTATTAAACTACGATCTTGTTTTGCTAGGTTTCACAGAAAATCAGAATAGAATGACGAAATAGAGAATAGTTGTGTGCATAGGGTTTATGTCAATAAGTAATATAACATATGGCCTATTAAGAATAATAAAAGCGTATTGCTATTGTTTATTTAAATGGTATTACGTCTCTTATAGCGTGTATAAGTAAATAGAATGAAGTATTTTACACTTGTAAAGTACTTAAGATAACAAAAAGATACCGTTAAATAGAATAGTTTAATTCAGAATAGTTTTTTTTCAATTATATGAATATGTTTCTAACGATATTCTAATTTTAAGTGATGAGAACTTGTCTAAAACATATTGACTGTCATAAACTTTAGTTTGATTGATATAGAGTTTTAATTCTACCGAAATTGTGTAAGAAAGTATTATCTCATATCGAATGTATACGAATTTATTATAGTTTGTTTCACTTGTCTTTGATGGTCTTACCGGTGGTATACAAGACAGTATTCGTGATAAACATAAAGTTCAAGCTTATCACATGATGTTTGCAATGAATATATGGTCATGTTTATGGGCATTCATTGGTATTCTTGCAACTGGTGAATTATATGGTTTTATTGATTTTCTTCAGACATATCCTGATGTTATTTCAAAGATTATTTTACTCAGTTTAACAGGTGCAGTAGGACAAGTAAGTAAAAACAAATGTCGAAAATATGAATTTTATAATTTTTATTTCATAGAATTTTATTTTTCTTACAATTGAATGGTTTGGCCCATTGACATGTTCAATTGTTACAACAACACGAAAATTTTTTACTATACTTTGTTCAATATTTATTTTTGGCAATCCAATAACAATTCGTCAAATGTTTGGAACAGTACTTGTTTTTCTTGGTCTTTTTCTTGAGCAATTGCATGGAAAGAAACATTAATATCTATATTTATTGTTATTCCTGTTATTTTTTATGCTTATCATTATTATTAGTCAATCTATTTAAAGTTTTGTTCGTAAAAATAAAAATAAAAAAAAGAAATAATCAACGCGTCGTAACAAGGTCATTGTGCATCGTTTCATACACGTGTCCCTGACAAGAAACAGAAAAGAAAAAAAAAAAGAAAATACAAGTATCCATCAGTGTAAAAAAAAGGAACAAGAAGTAAGAAATGAATTCTATGTATCATATTATTATTCGTCGTTTATCAACCCAACAACATCACTATAAATTAGTTGTTATTGGTGCTGGTTGTGGTGGCTTAGCATGTGCATCGAAATTTGCAAAAAAATTGTCGAAAAATGAAATTGCTATTATTGATAAAAAATGATGTATATGTCCATGAGAATATAAATTTGTCCTTGATAATTTTTATTCATTTCTAGACACATATTTATCAACCAGGTTGGACATTAGCTGGTGCTGGATTAAAAACACCTGATGAACTTGAAAAATCACAATCACAATGTATTCCAACTAATACAACTTGGATTCAATCAAATGCCAGTCAAATTCAACCAGAAAAAAATCTCGTAGAATTAGATGATGGAAAACAAGTAACGAAAATTTATCTCGAAAAATCTAGATTTTGTATTTTTATAAATAGATTACATATGATTATCTCATTGTTGCTGCTGGTATACAAACACGTTATGATAAAATAAAAGGAGCTATTGATGCATTAGATAATGATCCGAAACATGTAGTTAGTATTTATTCGAGAAAATATGTTCGTAATGTTTATAATACACTTAATAATTTTCGTGGTGGCGAAGCGATATTTACATTTCCTGGTACACCGATTAAATGTCCTGGTGCACCACAGAAAATAATGTATCTTGCGGAAGATTTATTTCGAAGAGTAAACATATAAAAATAAACTTTTCTATTTTTTCATTTTGTAATTTAGAATAATATTCGTGATAAAACTACTGTTATATATAATACGGCATTACCAGTTATATTTGGTGTTAAAAAATATGCTGCTGCTCTAATGGAAGTTGTCAAAGCAAGGTATATTATTATTAAAATTTAATAGTCTAATTAAATAGATTATTTTATAGAAATATTCAATTAAATACTCGATTAAATCTTGTTGAAGTACGTGCTAATTCAAAAGAAGCTATTTTTGAAAATCTTGATCAACCAGGTACAATGAAAACGTTTAAAGTAAGACAAAAATTCGCAGTTCGTTTTATTAATATTGATAAATTCTAGTATGATTTATTACATATTGGTGCACCAATGGCACCTTATGAATTTTTAGCAAAATCACCATTAGCTGATGCAAATGGTTTTGTTGATGTTGTTAAAGAAACATTACAACATAAGAAATTTCCTAATATTTTTGCTATTGGTGATTGTACAAATCTTCCAACTAGTAAAACAGCTGCTGCCATAGCGGGATCAAATTCTATTCTTGTTAGGAATTTAATTAATCTTATGGATGGAAAATCTGATAGCGTTCCAAAAGTATATTTTCTTTTATTTTAAAAAATATAATAATTTAAATTTCTCATCGTAGTATGATGGATATACAAGTTGTCCACTTGTAACAGGTTTTGGTAAATGTATTTTAGCAGAATTTGATTTCAATGGACAACCATTAGAAACATTACCAATTGATCAAGGAAAAGAACTTCGTCTTTCGTATATATTAAAAAAAGATGTTATGCCATCGATGTATTGGAATATGTTAATCAAGTAAGAGTTTATTGTCTTATATATTTTATTTTACAATTCTTTTTATAGAGGTACATGGAATGGTCCAGGAACACTTCGTAAAATGTTTCATCTTGGCATGACAAAATAAGTTTAGGACTAATTCATTTTTAATGTAAATTTTTTTATTTAATAACGATTAGCCATGCGTAGTAATTCTTTTCTTTTAGTAAAAATGAAATAAAGATCTATTAAGACATACCTAGTCTATAATAAGTATATTCTGACTAAACTATTTCGTGTAGTAAACGTTCATTGCATAACTAAATCAATTATCCTGATCATCAACCACGTGTACGACTAATGTACATATCGCGGTGAATATATTCACAAAAAAAGTTGTTCAAAAAAAAAAAGAAAATAGAACGCTTATATACTAGAAAAACTATCACAAAAAGACTATATATAGATATAAAAATACAAAGTTTCATATTTGTTGAAAACAGAAAAAAAAATATTCTGAAAAAACAATGTTCAATAGAACGAGGTCACGAAAGACAAAAAAATACCCAAAAAAAAATTAACCTGTATCATAAAACTAGTACAAAAACAAAAAGCTAATAGAAAAGTGGCATACAACGCACATATTCATAGAAAGGAAAAAAACAATTAAAGATAGAAAAGACGATCAGCAAGTTCTGGATTGAAATCCTGATGTAAACTTTGACCAACGAGAAAAGCTAATTTATGAGCATATTGACAAACAGCTGGTACACGAATTGTTCCTGGCCAACTGAAATAAAATATATAAATATGATAGAATTTGAATTACAAAGTATTTTATTCAACTAACTTATAATATAAATGAGTAAGTTTGAAAGTAAGACGTTGCATATGATCGACTTTAAAACTAGAAATCAATTGTGAATATAAGAAAAACAATTAAGTTTAAATAAAAGTTTACTTTGTCCGATCCCATATGACATTATAATGTGTTGGTGCTACTGTTCCTTGTCGAGCACATTGAGAAATTAAATAAAAGTCATACCATTCAGCTTAAAAAATAATTCAAATTTTTAATTTTATTCAAAAGATGATATATGTCTTACCATTAGTAACAGTATGATCAATAATTGTACCCGGTGGTGGATTAACCATTGATGTACTACCCATTTTAGCAAAAAATCGAGCATTACCTTTCTTTTTAACAATAATTACTGCGAGTTTTGGTCTAAAATAGTTATTGAAATAGATTGAATTTGATTTCAAATTAGAAAACATACTGATATCCAGGCATAATTTTTGGAAATGTATCAATAATTTGTGGTAATTCATGTTCAGCTACAATAGCTAATTGACCATCCGAAACACCATCTCGATAAAGTACAACTAAACAAAGACACGAGTTTCCTTAAAAATCATAATTGCTTTCAAACATACTTTTTTCGGGTAATGCATTATTTACTCGATGATATTCTTTAAGTGAATCTAAATAAAACAAATTCTCTATTATTATTTCATAATCTAAATTAATTTCACCTCTCATGCATTGTTGTAAACCATCCATTAATTCTTGAGCTGTACGATTATAAATAACTCGTGAATAAAAACGAGTACATGTTACATTTGTTGAAGCAACAAATGCACCAACACTAGCACCTAAA